ATGGGGGCTTGGCCACCCTTCCTCACACCCCACCCACACCATGATCCTCCCCTCAGTCTTTGCCAGCAGGATTTCAGCTCTGTCACCAGGGAGTTCCTGCTGGATTCCAGCCCCACATCCCCTGTCTCCACCTTGGCTTGGGAAGGAGCTCCTGGTTCTGCCCCTGGTCCCAGCGAGGGGACAGGGCCGGGCTGGGCAGGGCTGCTGTGTCTCACCTGTCGATGCTGAGGGCGCAGAGGCTGAGCACCGTGATGCCCACCGAGGCTTTCTGGATGAAGGGCACCAGCTTGCAGACCTGCACTCCGAAGGGCCAGTCCTTGGCCAGGAGCTGGGGAGGATCCACAGGTTAGCAGGCTGCTTTGGGAATGTCATCCAGCTTCTTCTCTGTGGGTGGGGAGCCCACAGAGAGCAGGGAGAGCTCTCTGAGCTTCCCACCACTGGGAATGTGCCGTGGGCATTTCACCATGGCCTGCTGGCACTGGGAAACTTTCATTCCCCTGACAGAGATAAAGGATGGTCCAGACACCAGGTCCTGACTCCAGACCCTGGGGGGGTTTTAGGATCTGAGTCCTAAACTGCACACTAGGCTGCTTTGTGTTGTTTTCAAGGGGAGAATGAAAGTCCTGCTCTGACACAGCCAAAATCCAGCCTGGACAGCTTCAAAGCCGTGTGTCCTAAGCGTTTTCCAGACTCTGACCCCCAAGCACGCTCCCTTTCCTGGCAGAACCCCTGCTCAGCTGGAACAGAGGTGGGGAAAACATGTCCTGAAGGCTGGAGAGATCCAGGCCACTCATTCACAAGGAGGAGAATGAGGCTGAGTTCACATCCCCTCTGTCCCCCTGAGCCCTGGAGACCTTACTGAGGCTACCCCAGAACCAACCTCCCGTTCCAGCTCTTCCCTTCGGCCTCAGCAGCGACACAGAACCCCAGGAGGGCTTCAGAGAGACCCCAAAGCCCATCCAGTCCCACCCCCCAGCACGGGCAGGGCCACCTTCCACTACCCCAGGCCACTCCAAGACCCATCCAAGCTGGCCTTGGAGTCTTCCAGGGATCCAGGAGCAGCCCCAGCTCGTCCTGAGGTGGGAGCAGCACCATACCAACCCCATCCCAGCTCCATCCCGGCCCTCTCCTGGCCCTATCCCAGCCCCATCCCACCCCATTCCACCCCATCCCAGCCCCATCCCACCCCACCCCATCCCATCCCAGCCCCATCCCAGCTCC